CAGTTGTATCCCAGTCACTGCTCCCCAGAAAGTGAGGTGGAGTAGAAAGAGACAATCCTCAAGACACACTCAAGCCCTGGCCCCTTTGCCCTGGGGCAACATTCAGACCCTACACATTTACCTGCACAATGGTGGTGGCATCCCCTCTAGGAATAAAAGGACAGTCAGCCTAGAACCAGCCCACATTTCAAGGCAGGGTGACTTGAATCATATCCTGACCAGCACTTAACAGCTGTATTGCTCTGAAGTGACTCTACCCTTCTGCAAAATGAAGAAAATATACCTCCTCCGAGTGTAGGTAGGAGAAAAATGGGTTCATCTTTGACAAAGTCTGGACCATTTTAATGCTCAGGTTATTAAAAACCACCTAAAACTCAAGTTCCCAGAGAGAACTCCAGGCAATGGATAATCTGCCATACACGGTTATCTCTCAGAATGAGACTATTCAGATGGGAAAAAGACAGAAATATTTTCCTCTAGTAAAGTGTTCATCCCCCTCCACTTCACCACTTATTTTTTTTTAAATATTATTTATTTTTAGAGAGAGAGGAAAAGAGAGAAACCTTGATGTGCAAGAGAAGCATCGAGTAGTTGCCTCTTGCATGCTCCCAACTTGGGGGACCTGACCTGCAACCCAGGCACGTGCCCTGACCAGGAATCAAACCGGTGACCTTTTGGCTTGCAAGACGACACCCAACCCCCTGAGCCACACCAATCAGGGCTCCCCACTTATTTTTACATATTGTGGTTTATGACCACATATTAAGCCCTACAAACTGTAATTATATGTTTCTTCCTTTGTCTGCAGGTGGACTGTAAACTGGCAAATGAGGTAGTTTCTAGAGTGAGAAACTGTGCAGTCAGGGATATATGGGAAAGGAGAGATTTTTCAATATTTGCCTAGCCATCTTTTGGATTTTATACCATGCAGAATTGTAACACTCAAAAATAAATTAAATGTTGAATTTTTTTTTGCTGTGAATTGCACACAGTTTGGGTGGCATAATCTCATTTTTGTTAAAGACAACTTTAAAAAAATCTATATTAGTATATCTGGGGAGGGGGGGAATGGGAAACCTAAATGCAATACATGAAGCAAAGAGAGGAAGGGAGAGAAGGAGAGACATCAGTTTGTTGTTCCACTTATTTATGCATCCACTGGTTCATTCTCGTATGTGCCCTGACCCAGGACCAACCCGCAGCCTTGGTGTATAAGGATGATGCTCTAACCAACTGAGTTACCCCACCAGGGCCTATAAGAAATAAATTTTTAAAGTAACTTGTACATGCATTATGTTTTTAATCAGATAAAACAATAGGAAGAGTAAAAGAAAAAGAACTAGAACTTAGCCCAATTTTCTTAGAAACCTCCAAGCCATGAGAGCCAAATGAAGGAAGAAGCAAATGCGTAGGCTGAAGTGCAGAAATGAGACAGAGGTCCAAGTAAACTGCTAGTTTGTGCACCCATAGAAGTCACAGGAGCAGAAATAAGGGAAACCAGAGGCCATGGACACTGGTACAAATCACTGGACTGCATGTTTGCTGTGTAGAACTTCTCAGTGGACCTAGAATGTACATTGTCATCTGATTGTGCCAACCACTTTTTGAGAGACACACCTTGCTCAAAAACAGCCCCTTTGGTCTTTTTCCCTGGACCTGTGACATTCTGGACTAGTTGGTCTCAGTTGTGGCTGACTGTAATGTGTGCAATAAATCATCTCTTCTATCTTAGCTGAAGAGAAAAAAAGAAAAAGAACTAGTTCCAACGTCACTGGGGACCTCCAAAAGTTTTGGAGGTGAAGGAGAGAATTTTCAGGCAGCAGAAGATATTGGCAGCCCCAGAATAGGAAACAGATCCTAGACAGGAACAGACAAAGGAATCCGGACATGGGAAGAAAGGGTTGTGAATTGCGACGGTGGCAGTGGAATGGGCAACAATGAGCAGTTGAGAGAGAAGAAAGGATAAAGCTTTGTGTCATTGGATAGATTCCCTCTTTTTTTTAGGACATGCTCATTGATTTTTTACAAAAATATTTTATTTCTTTTTACAGAGAGGGGGAGTGAGGGAGAAAGAGAGGGAGAGAAACATCAGTGTGAGAGAGAAACATCAGTGACTGGTTGCCCCTCGCCGGTGTCCCAACCAGGGACCAAACCTGCCACCCAGGCATGTGCCCTGACCTGGAACTGAACAGGTGACCTTCGCTGTGTGAACAATGCCCAACCAACTGAACGACATTGGCAAGGACCCATGACCATTGATTTTAGAGAGAGTGGAAGAGATGGAGAGGGAAACGTCAAATGAGAAACATATTACTTTCCTCACAACAACTCTATTAATTAGGTATATTATAATCATCCAATTTTACAGATTTGAAACACGGGTTAAGTAACTTGGTCCAAGTCATACAGCTAAAAAGTGGCAGAGGTAGGATTAGAACTTGGGCAGCCCAGCTCTGGAGCCCAGCTTCCATAGATCACTAGAGCTGGGGCTTAGCACAATGCCTGCCACAGAGTACGCAAAACAATGTTAACAACTCAAATAATATTAAAAGAGGTTCGGATCCCTACTCCCACCAAGTGCCCACATCAAAGGATGGAAGTTCCGAGGCAGAGAGCACAGTGCCCTTCCCGTCACACGCCAGCTTTACGGTCCCCAGAAACTGGCCTGGCATAGTTCAGGGCAGCACTTGCTCTATCAGAGCACAAAGTCCAAGGATTTGACAGGTGAGGATCGCTGGAATGAGACTCTCTAGATGAGGAGAGGTTCAAGGAAAGGGCGCTTTATTTAATCCTCCTTAGAGAGTTTTACCTGCACAGCAGGAGATCCTAAGGCCAGGAATAGAAGGAAGCATCAGGCATCCAGTAACACAAGCAAGAGTTGCCATGTATTGTGGTTTAGACACTGTGCTAAATGTTGTCTAGACATGAGCTTAGATTAGCCTTCCAACAACCCTGTGATGTCCTAGTATTGTGCCCCTTCAACAGATCAGGGAACTGAGGCTCTGAAAGCTACTTGCCAAAGCCTCCGACCTCGGAAATCCTTAGAGATGATATTTGAACCCCCATCTAGCTAGAATAACATTTGCATAACTGTCTTTGCCACCTGAAATTCTCCTCCCAAAAGCCTCACTTGCCAACAGGGAATCAGCAGAAGTGGAGAGGACTTTGTGCCCTGTATGTACAACAGAAGGGTAGCAGGTCCTTGTGACAGCTTCCTTGTACACTAGATGGAGAGCAGGACACCAGGTGACAATCCCTCCTTTTGCACTTAGCAAGGGAGGCTTCTCAGGAGTGTTCCAGAGAGCAAATGGGGCCTGGTTCTGTGGACTAAACAGAAAGCAGGAAAGCAACTTGATCACCTCCCCGCCTCCCCCCTCCCCGACCTCTGACCTCCACTCTCCTCTCTGCCTCTTCTAAATGGACGTGCCTGTGGTGCCAACCCCTCCATTCTTGGAGTGGGCAGTGAGCAATCACTGCAGCCAGTGTTTATTGAGTACTGCTAAGTGTCTGCACTGTGCTGAGTGCTTCATCTTTATCTTGTCTCCATCTTACAGATAAGGAATTGGATGTCAATACCACATAGACTTGATGATCAGACCTAGGTTCAAATGTTGATTCTTCTACCAACCACCTGTGTAACATCCTCCAAGTTACCTAACCTCTCTGAACCTCAGTCTACTCATCAGTAGTGTGGGATTAAAGGGATTATTGTAAGGGTAAAAATATGCATTCCTCATTCATTTAGCAAGTACTTATTGAGCATGTACTTTGAGCCAGGCACTGGAGATGTATCTGCAAACAAACCAGAAAAAAATTCCTACCCTTGTGGCATGCACACTCTAGGAGGTAGGCATTTATGTGTTAGCACAGCTAATCTTCACAATGACCCATAGGTTAGGCACTGTTTTTGCACCCATTTCACAGATAGAAGGAGTCTCAGAATCATTTTAGTGCCCTGTCCCATTCCTTCTAAGAAATGGTGGGACCTGGTCTAGACATTAACTTTGGCACTGGAGTTCAACTTTTTGGGTTCAAATCCTGCTGTTTCTATCTCGTTGTTGTGGCCAAGGCACTTAATCTGTCTGAGCCTGCATTTCCTCATGGGTAAAATGGGACCAGGAGGCCCTATCTCAGAAGATTATCCCAGGGTAAATGTCTAACATTTAGGAAGTGCTTCCTGGGTCTCCAGGGAACAGGAATACTATGAGGGAGGGAAGGAAGGAAGGAAGGAAGGAAGGAAGGAAGGAAGGAAGGGGGGAAGGAGGGAAGGAAGGAAGGAAGAAAGGAAGGAGGGAAGGAAGGAAGGAAGGAAGGAAGGAAGGAAGGAAGGAAGGAAGGAAGGAAGGAAGGAAGGAAGGAAGAGGAAAGAAAGAAAGAAGGAAGGAAAGAAAAAGGACTGAAGGAAGAAGGGAGGGAGGGAGGGGAAAAGAAAGAAAGGAGGAGGGAGGGAGGGAGGAAGCGGGAAGGGAAGGGAAGGAAGGAAAGGAAAGGGAAAAAAAGACGGAAACTGTGGCCCAGAGAGGGAAGTGCCTTGCCCAGAGGCGATTTTAAAGCCCGCGCTCTGAACCCAGTCGCCGCGCAAAGTTTACCTGGTCGGGCACCGTTGAGTAAACTCCCGATTAATGGGTGCGATTAGTTTTTCCTCCCTGCAGCCGCCGGACAGGCTGAATGGGGGTGACCGATTGCGTGCCCTCCTCTGAAACTTGGCTACCGCAGAAGGTAGCGCGGCTGGCGGAGCTGCAGCCGCCACCGGGATTCCCCCACTTCTCCATTGCGGTCCCCCGGTGATTCTCCCCCCATTTCTCGCACCCCACTCCCGCTCGCTCCCGCTCCCCGGCCACAGCGGCCACCCCTGGCCACCCTGCCGCAGCTGCGCGTTTGGGACACTCTCACTGAGGCGCCTGTCGGAGGCCGGGAGGCGGCTCCGCAAGCGGTCCGCCTCGGCGGATACCTGGGAAGACGTCCCGGTGCCGGCCCCGGGACCCGGTAAACCGCCTCACCTCCCACCCGCCGTCGCGTCCCAGCGCCTGTCTGCTCTCCTGCGGAGCCAGTCAGCGACTCCGACCTGGGGTTGCGCGTCCTGCCTGGAGGGCTGATCGCTTTCTTCTTGGAACTAAGCCGAGTTCCTCCGAGTGCTGGGCGTGTACACCCGCCGGCGTATCCACTGCCGCGGGTTTGCATTTACTCTTTCCTTCCACCCGGCAAATCTTACCAAGCGCTCACCAGGCACGGGCACTGCAGGCTCCCAGAGGCCAGCGCTGCTCTCTCAGAAACGCTGGCCACTAGCCACGTGGTTATAAAGCATTGGAAACGGTGGCTCCACTGAAGTGAACTGTTTTTAAGACATAGGGCAATGGAAGTATTTTTTAAAACGCATTTACAAGTTCTAAACTGATTGCATGTTTATGATATTCTGGGTACAATTTGTTAAATGAAATGTATTATTACAACAAATTTTACCTGTTTCTCCTTTTCGAAAATACTGCTACTAGACAATTTTAAACTATGTCTATTATACTTCTATTAGATAATGTTGATCTTGGGCAGGAACCCGCAGGGTGTTCCCAAATACCTCTCTCATTTCTTCTACAACTTATTCAGCTCTTCCTTACTTCCTTCAGAAAACACTTGGGGAAGACTTAGCATGCTCCAGTCATAACACTAGTGTGTGTCTGTAAACTCAGGAGCTTCTCAGGTGACAACTGAAACTGCTGCCTATGCTCCCCCCGCCCGGCCGCCCCCCACCCCGCCCGCCCCCCGGCCGCACGGAGGGCACGAAGAGAGGGAAGAGGCAGACTGCTCCAGAGGTGTAGTTGGCAATGTTAACAATCAAGGAACGTTTTCTACCAGGCTTGTCTTGGGTACCGTAAGAGGAGTAGATATCCAAATTCACAAGTCAGAATCTTGAAGTTTCTGGAGGACTAAATAGGGTTCAGTCACGTGTATGGTCCTGATGGTCTCAACAACACCTTATTCTCTCAAGGCTGCATTCTTGAAATGGCTCCTAGTGTGAGAAGAGTGGGCAGAACTTATATTCCAAGGAAGGGGCGGGGGTGAGGCTTGCCTGGGTTCAGCTCTCTGGTCAACTGACAGTCACTGCCTCTCCATTACTTCCTCCAGCAGCTAGACACTGGGGAAACAGAGTGATGAGCAAAACAGATTTTGCCCATGGCCTCCTATTGCTGACAGGTGTGCACCCTGAGAAAGAAGATACTTGCTAAGAAGGGCCCCCAGTGGCTAACTGGCCTCAAATTTTTAAAAAAGAGCCTAGCAGCCACTTCTGCACAGGGGTCTCTCATGCAAACTGCATTTGAAGGTAAAGCCTGCGCTGAAGTACCTTCCTCAGCACTGACCTTCCTGCCTGTACTGTGTTCCTGCCATCTGAGCCAGCCCTTATAAAAGAGTTCACGGAACCCCATTTCAACCAACTGGACTGGGGCTTTCCTCATCCAGTTAGAACTGGGCAGCTGTATTCCCATCAACTTCTTTACTGACCAATCAGTGCCGTTCCCTTTTGACCAGTCAGGACAGTTTTTGGACTAATTAAACTGCGAGGATTTGGTGTCCTTATTTGCATGAGGATGAACCAATCTGGGACAGTGTGGGGACTTTTGTCTATATAAGTTCAGTTCCCTTCTTGCTCTGGGAGTGCACTTTCCCTTACCAATGAAGACTGAAGAGTATGTTTCCCTGGCAGGAGCTGAACCACCAAAGGTGAAACATGGAAGCTAGTCTAGCTGGAGCCTGGAGCAGAACAGACCAGTACAGGCCCCCTAACAGCGACGCTGTTATCACAGCTGTGCTGTGTCACAATTGAGCTCTTCCACAGCGGCATGATGATTGAGCTGTTTGCACTGAACAAAGCGTTCTTCCTTACTGCACCCCAAATTGGGGATTCCACAATTGACACCAGTAATCATAGGTTGACACGTGTCAGGTGAAAGAGGGCTATTAAATAAAGTGTATGATAATTAGTGGTCACTGTCACCAATCTAATGCCAATGGAGTCCATAGTCTGGGGTTTGGTAAAAGGAGAATATTCAGGTAAACAGTTTACAAACGAGAAATGTGCTGTCAGGTAGAAATTGAAATGCACTCCTCCAGACAAAGGGGAAGCTGCTTTTTGTACAGAAATTTCCTGTGTTGGTTCCAGATTCGTCCATTTTTATGCAAATGAGGAATCAAAATTTGCAGTCTGATTGGTCCAAATAGCACTATCCTGAGTGGCAGATTCTTGAGTTGCTGTGGAGCTGTTCTGATTGGTCAGTATCAATGCAAATAATTGGGTGGGGCAGGTCTCAGTCCATTGTTTGGAAGATGATACCAGAAACTCACTTGTAAGGGTTGATTCAGAAGGCAGGAGGACAGTATCTCAGTCTGTGGCTTTTCCTTGGAGTGCAGTCTGTGTGAGAGACCTTTGTCAGCAACGACTGCTAGACTCCAGTTAACCATGAGGAGCCTTTCTTGGCAGATATATTCCTTCTGGAGGTTCACACTAGAAATGGCAATCTAAGGAATGGGGGGAAATATTTGCAAATTATCTGACAAACCATTAATACCCAGAGAATATATAATATATATTTAACATATTAAAGATATAAATAATAGCATATATAATTAAATAATATATGAACAATATACTTTATAAACAATATAATATTGTATATTATAATATACAGTATATTATTTATATAATTATGCAGACTATATACTATAATATATTATATATAAAATATTTAAATATAATGTATTAATATAATATAATATACATGTAATTATGTTACATGTAAATATAATGTAATACTATAATGTATAATATTATATATTATATTAATATATTATACTATATATTATGTAATTATATTATATATAAATAATGATATATATTCAATCCAAACCTGAGAATTTATTTATTTTATTGATTTCAGAGAGAGAGGAAGGGAAAAAGAGAGAGAGAGAGAGAAACATTAATCAGTTGCCTCAAGTATGTTCCCAGACAAAGGACTGTATGCAAAACCTAGGTATGTGCCCTGACTGTGAATCAAACCTGCCACCTTTTGGTGCATGGGACAACACTCCACCCAACTGAACCACTCAGCTAGGGTAATATCCAGAATATATTTTTAAAAACTCCTACAAACTCAACAACCATAACAAACAAATAACCAGATTTTAAAATGGTCAAAGAACTTGAATAGATATTTCTCCAAAGAAGATATACAGATGGCCAACAAATACATGAAGGTGCTCAATGTCACTAACCATAAGAGAAATGCAAATCAAAACCATGATGAGACATCACCTCATACCCACTAGGATGGCCACTCTAAGAAAACAGAAACAAGAAAAATAACAAGTGTTGGTGAAGATGTGGAGAAATTGAGACCCTTCTGTACTGTTGGTGAGAATGTAAAGCAGTGCACCTATTAGGGAAAACAGGGTGGGAGTTCCTTAAAAAATTAAAAATAGCAATCTCACTTTTGGCTCCAAAAGAATTCAAAGCAGGATCTTAAAGAGATATTTGCACACCCATGTTCATTGCAGCACTATTCACAATAGTCAAGAGGTAGAAACAACCCAAATGTTCATCAACAGATGAATGGATAAAGAAAATATGGTGTATACACACACACACACACACAATGGAATATTACTCAACCTTTAAAAAGAAGAAGATTCTGTTATATGCTACAACATGGATGAAACTCAAGGACATTATGCTAAGCTAAATAAGCCAATAAGAAGAAGGCAAATATTGTATCATTCCACTCATACAAAGTATCTAAAGTAGTGAAAATCATAAAAACAGAAAATAGAAAGGGCGGAATGAAGGGAGAGGGGAAATTAGTATTTAATGGGTATGGAGTTTCAGTTTTGCAAGATGAAAACATTCTAGAGATCTGTTGCACAAGAACATGAATATAGTTAACACTACTAAACTTAACACTTAAAAATGGTTAAGATGGTAAATTTAATGTTACATGGTTTTTGCCGCAACTTAAAAAACTACTAGGCCCTGACCAGGTAGCTCAGTTAGTTAGAAAGTCATCCTGATAGGCCAAGGTTGTGGGTTTGATATCTGGTCAGGACACGTACAAGAAGCAACCAATGAGTGCATCAATAAGTGGAACAACAAATTGATGTCTCTCTCATCAGTAAATAAAAAACAAAACAAAACAAAACTATACCATAACAAATGCAACTGTGATTATTGCAACCAAGGAGGGGTAAATGGTATTGTAAGATTTTAAAATTGAATGGGGAAGGTTACTGGGTGTCAAGGGAGGCTTCCATAAGGAAGTGATGCGTTGGATAAGCTCAGTCAGAGTAAAACAGGGGAGGAAGGCAGGCAGCATGTGCAGAGGGAGCAGTCCATGCAAAGACCCCAGGGAAATAGGGCACATGGTGAGTCTAAATTTATCTTATATAGGGCAATTGTCTTGAACTTTCCTGCTTTGTAAATCAAATAGATGATGGTGATGACGATGACAGCCAACAGGTACCAAAAATTAATCCACGTAGTTAATTAATTAACATCAATGGTAAGTGCAGAGATTCTGAATCAGGCTACTCGAGTTCAAATTCCAGCTCTGCAATTTTCTTTACTAGCTTCATAATCTTGGGCAAATTACTTTTCTCAGTGCCTCCATTTCCTTATCTGTAAAATGGGGACAGTAACAAGACCTACCACACAGGGCTGTTTCAAGAATATAATGAGGTAGCGTATACCACGAGTTATGTTATATGTGCAGTGCCTGCAACACTGTAAAGGCTATATAAGTGCTTGTTAAATAAAATAAAATGCAATTGCATGCCACTAACTGTGCTAACCACTTTACATGCTATGATATTCAATATATTGCAGAATGGTCGCAAATTCCTTCCATCTCTGTAAGCATACTTTTCTGCAAATGTAACCTTGCAGAATCAGAATCCATCTTCTCATGTAAAAGAAGGGTGCATCCCAGACCAGAAGGCTAATGTTGATCCCTGAGAGTCCCCCCTCAACCCTGTTCCTCTCACAATTTCCCCTCTCAGGAAATGACAGCTCCATCCTTCCAGATTGCCCTTTAGCTCAGAAACCTTGGGAAAATCATCAATGTTTCTTCTATTTTTACTCCTCACATCTACTTTGTC